GACATGCAAGTCCAGGAAGCACAGAGAATCCCAAACAAGATGAATACAAAGAGGCCCACTCCAAGACACATCAGAATTAAAATGCCAAAGGTTAAAGATAAAGAGAGAACCTTAAAAGCCGCAAGAGAAAAGGAGTTATTTACCTACAGGGGAGTTCCCATAAGGCTGTCAGCTGTTTTCTCTAAAGAAACTTTGCAGGCCAGAAGGGATTGGCAAGAAATACTCAAAGTCACGAAATGCAGGAACCTACAGCCAAGATTGCTCTACCTAGCAAAACTATCATTTAGAATGGAAGAGCAAATAAAGAGCTTTCTAGACAAGAAAAAGCTGAAGGAGTTCATCAGGAGGAATGGGTGAAGAGGTGAGGAGATTAAAAAGTACAAATAGGTACTTTTAGCCATGGGGATGTAAAGTACAGTATAGGAAATGGAGTAGCCAAAGAACTTATACACATAAGCCATGGACATGAACCATAGTGTGCAGATTGCCTGAGGGAGTAGGAGGTGCTGGGTGGAGGTGGGAAAAGGAGAAGAATCAGGACTATTGTAATAGCGTAATAAATAAAATAATTAAATACCCCCCATAAAAGTGTCATACGTTTTTAAAATTGAATCTTTCCAACCCACGTATTACTTTTACATCAACTCATAACAAACAGACATTATCATTTTCCTTTTATAAATGATTAAACTGAGGCAAAGAGAAGCTAAATAAGTTGTTTAAGGTTATCCAGCTGAAGCGTGGCAGTTACCAGTCCTATGAATCTAAAAATCTACTAAATAGCTCTATGTAGATGCTTTCATATAACCTCAAGCTCAACATATTTTAAGTGAACTAATCATTTCCCCTACCCAGCCTTTGCTCCACACATATACACTTCTGTCTGTGTTCTGACCACCCAGTCTCAGTGGATGGCACCGCCATGTACCCTTTCATCTGTGCTTGAATTCCCTCCCACCTGCTAAATCTAGTGAGTCACCTTATCCTATCAATTTCACCTTCTTAATAGTTTTCAAATTTGTTGTCTCATTTCCATCTATACTACTACTAATTTAACAATAACAACTTCATTTATTGAGTGTCTGTACCACATCTATCTAGTACAGTACATTAATCCCTAGATCAACTCTATGAGGTGGATATTATTATCTCTATTTTATAGACAAGAACTCTGAGGCTTACTAGCTTTGATCCTATGTCCTTTTGCCCCTATGCAGATGAGCTCTAGGTCAATACTTAAGCTTTTCTCTCATCTTTCCCAGTTCTTATCTCTCCCAGTTCTAGAATACCTGCCTTGTGTATCTTACTGAAAAATGAAACTTAACAAAATAAAAACTAAACTTATGGCAATTCTTTCCAATTTTCCTAGTATCATCCATGGTACCTGAACAATTTTTTAAGTTTTTATCTTAAAGTTTTTAAGAGGAATCAAAATGTAGTAGAAAGGAATGGGAAAAAAAGTTGGAATCTACCCTGAGTTTACTTTTTGATATTACATTTTTCTAGCTCTGTGTCTGCCCAAATGATATAGTTCTCTGTGCTTAAATAAAAAATAAGGTTAATGGTAAAATTAATAATACAGTCTTATATGGGAAAATGCAATATATAGTGTTAAATCCATTTTTAGGAAAAAAATTACTCCAATGTGGCACATCATAAGTTGGTACTTCAATATATCTTAAACGCATAGTCTGGATAATCTTTGTCAGATACACCAATCTCTTATGTGAGTATCTAAAGTGGCTCAATGTCTTGTCCCCTGAATAAAATGTAAACTCAGCTATGCAGATACTCTGTTAACCATACTCTTGCAATAATCCAATAGGGTCAATATATGAAAAACCCAATGGGGTCATTTGGTTCACAAGTATTGTGGCTTCTTATTCTTTAGCCTTACCTCATTCTGCTCCTTCTGTATCTCAATGCCATAACTTTTCTTTTACCAATCTATTGTATTCCCTTGCTTAAGATCCAGGTTGTTAGCTGACAAGCAACTAGAAAGGAGTCTAGATCAAAAAGCAAGTATATGCAGTTCAAAACCAAAGCATGAACAAAGAGTGTGTTTTGGGACTCTGATTATATAGGTATTTCTGTTTACTATGCAGACCATTGTGATAGATTATAAATCTGAAAAGTTTCCTTAAACAAAATGCCTACAAATGCTGGATAAAAATAAACATACCATGAAATGCATAGCTGAGCTTGCAAAAAAGAAGAAATTCCCAGAGGCCAAAAGTGAAGAGAGACTTTAAAGTCAGAATAGTGAAGTGATATTGAAGTAATACTGGGGCATTTGCCATTCTCATAGTCTTTTGAGACACTCTAACTAGGACATAAAGCTTGAGCAAGGTGGAACATTGGAACAGTTGACACTTCTTTGAATTACGAAAAGTACCCTTCCATTTGAAAAAAATTTATTGATTTTATAGAGGAAGGTTGGGGGAGAAAGAGAGAAAGAAAGAGAGAAACACGAATTTGTTGTTCCACTTATTTGTGCATTCATTGGTTGATTCTTATATGTGCCCTGACTGGGGATTGGACCCGCAACCTTGGCGTATCGGGATGATGCTCTAACCAACTGAACTACCCTGCTAGGGCACAAAGTACTCTTCTTAAATCCATCTTCAGTGAAAGGATTGACCAAAAAATCAAACCGCTGGAAAAAGGAAAAGACAAAGAAATCTGTCTGCCTCAGCCGGGGCTCTGGTTGGGGGGGTGGGAAATGTCTCCTGAGAATTTAAAATCACAAACCTGTCTGCACAACAGTTTGGGGTTCAAAGGTACACTCTCAGTCTGGCCTTAAAATTAACTTATAGTCCCAAATTGAGAGTAATGTACAATGTCAAGAACAGGCAAATGTAAAACTTTGCCAGGACAAATATTAAGAAGAACAAAGTCATACCACTGAGAATTCCCACTGATAGAATGCTGGAAAAACTATTGTCAACTTAAAACACCAATAAAAATTAGAGTTAATAAATGAGGACCTGTAGAGGCAAACAAAAACTGAAAGAGTTTATCAAAAGATTCTCACTAAAGGAACTTTAAAAAGGATATTAATTAAAAAAAAAGAAAGAAATTGATCCCAAAAGATCAATTGATCCTGAAAGACTAACAAAAATGTCAATTTCAAATAGAAATACAGTAAGTCCCTCAATACTGTTTCATTCAATGTCATTTTGTTACAATGTTGATGAGATACTATAGGAACTTGACTCTTGTTTATATCAATTAGTTATAGTAAAGTTGATTTCATTACACATTGTTTCACTTAAAGTCACAGAAGCTATGGACACTGTTAAGTGAGGATGCTTACTGTAGAATGCATAACTTCCTCCAAAAAGGAGAAATAAAAGTGTATTTTTTACTTCAAAACCTCAAAATAAACAAACAAAAAACCAGCAAAGTGGACAATAAATGTTACCATTAATATAAAAATTTGAACATGAAGAACAATAGAGATATGAGAGAGATAGAATGGTCAGAAAAAATGTTTGAAGAAATAGTGGCTGGAAACTTTCCAAATTTAATGACAAAACAACAATATTCACCTCCATGAAGCTCCATATATTCCAAGTAGGATAAACGCAAAGAGAGCTATACTTAGACATAGCACAGTCAAATGTCCCAAGCTAAAGACAATTTTGAAAGCTGCAAGAAAGAAGCAATTTGTCAAGTCCAAAGGACCTTTACAAGAGCGATGGTTGACTACTAATTAGTAAGGAAAATGAGGACAAAGACAGTGGGCTGACACATTCAACATGCTGAAGTAAAAGGCGGTCTATCAATGATTCTAAATCCAGCAAAACTTTCCTTACAAAACTGAAGGATGAACTTCCATCATTACAACATGAAGAGCTCCACAACCTGCTCTTAAGTGACAATTATGAAAAGAAACAACAAAAATCAACCAACTACCACCAACAAACATTACCACCAACAACAAAAAACAGAAAGAAAAAAAAGAAAATCATTCAAAGCCTTTGGAAATGCTCCTTAAAAAACTAGCAAATGAGGAAACATTTATTAAAGAATATCTATAAATATTTCATAGGAAAGATGAGAAATTGTGTTATTTAAAGAAAGACTGCTGCCTGCCTCTGCACCCCCAGATCAATGAGGTGGAGACTCCACTCCAGACTGCTACAACCAAGAATATAGGGCTAATTTTCCTCCCATCTCCCAGCTGGAAGAGTTTCTTCCTTGGAGGAACAGGACTTCATTGTATCACATCCTACACCTAGATATCTGTTGTGGGGTTAAGTCCTGAGTGAGTGTGCTTGAAAGATGGGGGCTCCCTTATTTGACCCAACCTCTTCTTATGAAGCAGAGATACTCTGCCTTGGGCATTGCACACTGAAAATATCAGAGGCAGTGCAATATAAGGGAAATGCAAGTACAAACCACAAAGAGATAATATTTCACACCCCATAACGGGTATAATACAAACAAAACAAACAAGTGTAAGTATTGGTGTGGAGAGATTTAGAAAAAATAAAAACATCTTACAGTTCTAAAATCTAAAATGTAAAATGGTGCAGCTGCTTTGGAAACCAATCTGGCAATACCTCAAAAAGTTAAACATAGAGCTACCATATGACCAAGCATTTCCAATCCTAGGTATATACCTAAGAGAACTGAATAATTCTGTTTATATGGAATGTCTAGAATAAACACATCTACAGTAACAGTAGATAAGTAGTTGCCAGGACTTGTGAAAGAGGAAGAATAGGCAGTGACTACTCATGGTTATGGGGTTTCTTTTAGGGTGATAGGATAGTCTGAAATTAGTAATGGTCACTATTGCACAAGTTTATGACAATAGAAAGTCCACAGACTGCATACTTGAATTTTAGCGAAAGGAGATGGAGGGAGGGAGGGAGGAAGAGAGGGAAAAAGGGAAAGAGAGAGAGATACTTTTCACTTGGTCATTATAGCTTAGGAGGTTGGAAATCACTTAGTCAGGCTTATGCAGCATCCACCGAACACTAATAGCTTACCTCAGTTCCAGTTTCTCTCCAATCCCAAGCCCGACTTCCCCCTGGCCACACTTTGCAGTCCTTATAGGTTTTAGTAGAGCCTTGTACTTTCATTTGCCCCCATGAAAGGGAAGCAATTTCAGGGGAAGACATAAGGAACTTAACAGAAATCTGTAATTTAAAAAATATATACCAAATCAGTTATAAAATAAAGTTGAAATTGCTCTAAAATACAGGAGGTATACTATATAAAAATGTACTTTATAATATAATACTATAGGCTGTTGTTCTCTAATGTGAGCACCACCTCTACCTTGCAGAGCTCTAGCTGAAGGAGAAAGGGGGAAAATATATAGGTCTCTATACCAGTAATTTTCAACTGGTACGCCACAAGAATTTTTTAAAAATTTTTAAATTTATTCACTTTTTAGATTTTATTTATTTTTAGACAGAGATGAAGGGAAAGAGAAAGGGGGAGAGAAATACCAATGCGTGGTTGCCGCTTGCACACCCCCTACTGGGAACCTGGTCTGCAACGGGACCTGGTCTGCAACACCGGCATGTGTCTTGACTGGGAATCGAACCAGTGATCTTTTGGTTCGCAGGCCAACACTCAATCCACCGCATCACCCTAGCCAGAGCTGCCACAAGAATTTTTAAAACAGGTGATACTTCACTAGTTAGTTAGGAGCAAAACAAAACAAACAAGTGTAAGTATTGGTGTGGAGAGATTTAGAAAAAATAAAAACATCTTACAGTTCTATAATCTAATCTGTCTGATCTCTTTTCTATTTGTCTGTCAAACAAAAAATTGACCACAGCCAACACAATAGCCATCCAGTGTGAATGAATCAAAATTGTTTTATTTTTCAGTCAGATGAGAAAAAAAATTTTTTTGGTGTGCTGCTGAATTTTAGTAATTAGTTTATGTGTGCCATGAGATGAAAAAGGTTGAAAGTCACTGCTCTACAAAGCAGAGTGCTCACAGATTAACAGGTGGTAAAGCACAGAGGAAGCAACTGGCGACCAAAGCCACTCACTAGAGTCGGCCCTCTACTGGAGCGGTGAAGAAACCTCACTGTTAGTCTCAAGGCTGGTACTGTGGCACTCTGTGAAATTAGACATTATCAGAAGTCCAATGAACTTACGATTCACAAACTTCCTTTCCAGAGTCTGGTTCAAGAAATTGCTCAGGATTTCAAAAGAGATATGTGCTACCAGAGAGCAGCTATTGCTGCTTTGCTGGAGGCAAGTGAGGCCTGTCTGGTTGGCCTTTCTGAACACACCAACTTGCGTGCTACCCATGCCAAACATTTAACAGTTATGCCAAAAGACACCCAGCTAACACAGGGCATACGTGGAGAGCATGTTTGAGAATCCATTAAAATGGGCAATATTTCATTCTTTAAAAAAAAAATCTCTTCTATTAATTGCTTGTTCTGAACATTAGATTGTTTTCCCCCATGGGGTCAAAAGGCACCTAAATATATATTGTAGGTGGAAAAAAGGGACAGAAAGTGGGTACTGGCAATTTTTCCATTTTCATTTGTGTGTGATTTTAAAGAAAAATATAAATGTAAGGACTGTTTCATGGACAAGTTTCAGCAGTTCCACTTTATAATAATTATAAATAAACCTGTTAAGTTTTCCTAAATAATGCCAGTGTTTGGGGTTTTTAAATAAATACATTTTTATTGTATATATAATATTATATACAAAATATAGTTTGCCCCAGTCCTTTATGAGTTAAGAAGTATCTTTCTCATTTATGTGATCTTCACTTATTCCTTTTTTTTTTAAGATTTTATTTATTTATTTTTAGAGAGAAGAAAGGAAGGAGAAAGAGAGGGAACGAAACATCATTGTGTGGTTGCCTTTCACACGACCCCCACTGGGGACCCGGCCTGCAACCCAGACATGCGCCCTGACCAGTAACCAAACCAGTGACCCTTTGGTTTGCAGGCTGGCACTCAATCCACTGAGACACACCAGCCAGGGCATTTTTCACTTATTCTTCAGAGGTCCAAAAAGAAAATTGTTTTTCTTGGCATCCCAAAACATCCAGCCATGGAAACTAGATAGTGTAATTACTTCTCAGACTCTGGAAAGAATTCTCAGGATATTATTTTGGAGATAAAATTAAAAGGTAGATATTTGCTTCAGTATGATCGAGAGAGGAGACTGACAATCCTTTTCCCAAAAAGCAACGATAAAGCTGGACAAAACTATCAAAAGTAACCACTTGGCACTCTAGAAATAATATTAAAGGCATAGTATAAACTGAGAAGTGTTTATTCATGACAACCACTGAATTTCAGGTAAGAACAGCAAGATATTTTGTTGTTTTTTCCTGGTACCACTCTCATGTCCCCACATCGATTCTTTTGGCACAAAAGTTCAGCTTGGTTGGAGCAGGGCATGAAAACCAACAGTCTCACGGCTACAATCAGAGGAGGCTCACTTGATTTGAAACATTATGATTTAAACTAATGACCTTAGTGGAAGTGAATACGGATGATAGGTGTCTCTGGTTCCTTGATATTGTGGGCCTGTTTGGGGCAAGCAGTGGATTGGGAGAGTAGGGAAGAATTTAAAAGGAATTTTCCAGAGGTGACAGCAATAATGGGCTTGATAAGCTCTCTACACATCCAGAGGAGACCAAAGGCTGTGTCTGCATAAAAGACCAGCGTAGGCCAAAGTCATCAAACATTCTGAACCAATGGGGCCTAGAGCCTATGCACAGTGAAGAAGTGAGAAGGCTCAAGAGGAAGCCAGGCAAGATATGAAAAAGCCTAAATATTGAATGTACTACCCAGTACACACACTGATCCCTCAGTAGAGAATTCAAGTCTCACTGTTTTGAGGTGTTCAGACACAATATTTAATTAATCTTTGGTTGAACACTAAGCCATATAGACACAAAGAACCCTAGAAGTTCAAGCTTAAAAACAAAAACAAGAAAAAAAAAACTGAATACAGATTCCCATGCTGAACTTCCTGAAGCACCCTCCCTCTGCGCTCCAGGACAACAGGGGAGCAGCTTGAAAGGCTTCAGTGGCATATGGTGAGGAACTGTCATAAAGGTGAAAGTTAAGTTCCAGTGGCCACATATTTCATAGGAGACAGAATTTAAGGATTTAATCTAGGAAAGTAAACCACAAACAAATAAACTAAGAACAACAACATTGGGGGTGGAGGGAATCAGAATCCAGATGGCCTATAATTTATGATCTAAAATGCCTAGTTTTCAGCAAAATTATAAGACATGCAAAATAACAACAACAACAAAAAACATGATCTACATATATCAACTGAAATTGTATCTGTGTGTTCCCATATATTTGACTTAGAAATGACTTCAAAGAAGCTATTATAAATATATTCAAAGAAATAAAGGAAACCTTGTATAAAGAATTAAAATCAATATGACAGTGATTCAATAAATAAAGAATCTCAACAGGCAGACGTTTCAAAAAAAGAATCAAATGGAAATTCTGGTGTTGATAAGAACAATAACTAAAAGAGGCCTGTATCAGTCAGGATTCTTCAGAGAAACAGAATCAGTAGATTATGTACATTATGAGATTTATTTCAGGGGTTGGTTTAGGGTCAAGATGGAGACTTAGGTAAACACAGCTCTCCTCCTTGCACAACCACATCAAAATTACAACTAAACTACAGACCAAAGATCACTCAGAACCCTCAGAAAATGAGTCGAATGGAAATCCAACAACTACGGAACTAAAGAAACCACATCAATCCAGACCAGTAGGAGACGCAGAGATGCAGAATGGGGAAGTCACACAAACACAGGTAGTGGATAAAAATTCAGAAGAGATATCCCGGGAGCGAGTGGTCCCAGTCCTACAACTGGAACCCCAGCCCAGGGTGCCAGCGTGAGGAACATAAGACCCCATAACTTCTGGCTATAAAAACCAGCAAGACTGGAGTTGGTGAAAAAAACTACTGGACTCCCTGGCAGTCCCTTTTCAAGGCCCATGCTGAACTTCCGGAAGCACCCTCCCTCTGCGCTCCAGGACAACAGGGGAGCAGCATGAAAGGCTTCAGTGGCATATGGTGAGGAACTGTCATAAAGGCGAAAGTTAAGGGACATCTCTCCCAGACAGAAAGGCAGGCAGAGGCCACTGTGCCTTTTTTGAGCCCTCCCCACAGCAGAGCCACAGAATGGGGAGGAGTTGCCACCTCTGAGAATCCATCAATCTGGCTTACCCTGTTTGCCCCACCCTGGAGTTTACCTGAGGCTCTATCCCACCCTCAGTTGCGTACCTCTGGCTGAGCAGCCCCCGCCATGGCACTAGCAACAGCCAGCTTTGGATCACAGTTTGGCTCTGCCTGGGAACCTTTAAGACCAGCATGAGTGGCAGCCATCTGCAGATTGCTTTGTATCTCACGCTGCGTAGCCCCAGGTGGGACACCGAGGGTGACTGACCCTGACCTGCACCACCCGGGAAACCGGGTGCCTCTGCACCTGGTGGACACCTACAGACCATGTGGGAGCATCACCACCCAGCCTCAGCACAGTTGAATCTCCATGGAGGGTGGAGACTGGTGGTCAGTGGTCACAGCCAGTCCTTGCAGCTGACTGCCTGGGTAAATCCCTCCATTGACCTGCTAACAGCAATCAGGGCTCAACTACAATAAGAGGGTGTACTCAGCCCACACAGAGGGTACACCACGAGTACCCGGCTGGGGTAACAGGGGAAGCTGTGTCACTGGTGCCTACAGGACACCTACTACATTAGGCCACACTACCAAGACAGGAAGTCATAGCAGATCTACCTAATATATGCAATCAAACAGGGAAGCTGCCAAAATGAGGAGACAAAGAAACATGAACCAAATTAAAGAACACATCAAAGCTCCAGAAAAATAACTAAACAAAATGGAGATGAGCAGTCTATCAGATGCAGAACTCAAAACACTGGTTATAAGGATGCTCAAGGAACTCAGTGAGTAGTACTTCAATAGCATAAAAAAGAGCCAGGCAGAAATGAAGGATATTCTACTGGAAACAAACAATTTACAGGGAATCAATAATAGAGTGCATGAAGCCAAAACACAAATCAGGGATACGGATCATAAGGAAACAAAAAACAACCAAGCAGAGCAACAAGAAAAAAAAGAATTAAAAAAAAAAAATGAGGACAGTG